CTCTTAGTTCTCAGTGTGAGCTTCTGAATGAACAAGACAGGATTTTTAATGGACCTGGTTACTCCAGCTAGTAGATGTGTTCAGAAGGGCTTTTGTAGGCATTTCTCTAGAATTTTAGAGTAACCATATGGTCCATCTGAAGTACAGATGGTGAACAGTTTAAGAGCATGGATTTTGTAGTTGCTGGAACCTTGACCCCACTCTATATTAGCTATGTGATCTCTAAGTTCGCTGATCTTGCTATACCTCCCCTCTCCTCTCCACGCTCCTCCTAACTTCGGGCTTCAGTACTTGTAAAACGTTACGTGGACTCTCGAGTGTGGGGAGCATCATTTTGTCTTCTTCCTCATCTGTCATAAGGTACCAGCCATCTTTGGGGGTTCGAGCTTTAACTTGATAGCTTTTATTAATTTCGGAAAATTGTCTGATAAGTGCGTTGGTGTCACCCTTCACTCAGCAGCTGCTTGACTTTTACCCTTGGTCTGGTTTCCTCTTTGAGTTAGTTCCTCCATTTTATTTAAGAACTCTTAATCATTTCTAAGTGCATCAGATCCCACTCTAGATGGTTGTGAACCATGTTGAACTCAGGACCTCTCAAAGAGCAGCCAGTGCCCCTAATCGATGAGCCATCTCTCCAGCCTTGAACCCATAGTTCTTTATTGCACTTTTTAACACAGGTGGCAGTTTGCATTTTTATCTTTATGTGTATCAGCTCCCATTATCCTCAGAAGAGCTGAATGAGGTAGGCGCTTCCATTACTGCTTTCATATTTCAGAGGAGGACACTGAGGCATAGACTGTTTCAAAAGTTATTCAGGCCACATAGTGAAGTGACAGAGATCAGGTTTGAATGCAGGCCATGTGATTGCATAGTGCAGCAGTCTAAGGGAGAATATCTGAATTTTGGTCTTAAGAACTGTGGTGTCTGTGAGCCTTCCCACGTCTGCAGCCTGAGAGCCAGCTTACAGGTGATCTGGTTGGGTAGCATTTCCCTTATTCAAGAGGAATCGCAGAATATTATAATTGGCATCCATAGCTCAGCTTGTTTTTAGAGCAAATTGTTGATCACAAAACAATACTCAAGGGTCTTTAATTTCATAGTTATTTAGGCTTCTGTTGAGTGTGGGGATTTATTATTTATTTGACAGGGTCTGATTCTGCAGACTGGCCTGATCTCATAGAGACCTACCTGCCTCTGTTTCTTGAGTGCTGGGATTAAAGATGTGTAGCACCACAAATTTGAAAAGAAAGTTAGCTTTGGTTGGAAGATAGGTAGACTTGGTAGGTGGTATATAATTTTCCTAAAGTAGAAAAAGCTAGTAAATCCAAACTTGACTTGCTATAGAAGAGACTGAAGGAATAAAGATGCTGTGTTAAAAATGGTGCAAGTTTAGGAGAGCTGCACTCTTAATCATTTATCCTGTGCACTCACTGACAGACAGGTCTACCATGCTGGGCGCTTGCTGAGGCCCCCAGCCGTGTTTTCAGTTATGTTTATGACCTGTATTGAGGATTGGTCCTGAGGGAATAGAAACAAGTGAAAACAAGTGTAGTCCAAGTCAGTCCTGCTGGCACAGGTCTGTTTTCCCTGATACCTGGGAGGCCGAGGAAGGAGGATGGCAAGTTCAAAGCCTCTGTGAACTAGAGTGAGTTCAAATCAGCGTGGGTAACTTGTTGAAGCTGTGTCAGAGTTAAAAAAAAAATTAAAAGGACTGGAGATAAGGGCTACTTGCCAGGTACGCACAAGGTCTTGTGTTCAGTCTTCAGTAAAAGAAATAAAGCCAAAACATAAAACCTCCCAAACCAATAAACGAACAAGGTAGTTCAGTGATGTCACTGTGAAAGACTTGTGATTCCCCTCATCATTAGCATTGACTACTGTTTAATCAGAGTTTCACTGTGTATGTTACATGCATATGAGAGTATCTTGGGTTTTATTTTTACTTTTAGTTTTTTTGAGACAGGGTTTCTCTTGTGTAGTCCTGGCTGTCCTGGAACTCGCTCTGTAGACCAGGCTGGCCTCAAACTCACAGAGATCTGCCTGCCTCTTCCTCTGCTTCTGCACTACTACCACCCAGCTTTATTTTGGGTTTTCTCTGTACTTTTAATTAAAAGGCAGATAGGACCTGCCTTGGTAGAAAGGTAGAAAGTAGTGTTGTTAGGATAATGGGTAAAAAGGACAGGTCAATACATTTAGAGTTTACTTCCTTGCCAAAAAAAAAAAAAAAAAAAGGACCTGCCTTGGTAGAAAGGTAGAAAGTAGTGTTGTTAGGATAATGGGTAAAAAGGACAGGTCAATACATTTAGAGTTTACTTCCTTGCCAAAAAAAAAAAAAAAAAAGGAAAAGAAAAAAATGTAATTATTGGGAATATTTTTTTTTAAAATAAATCAGCTTCCCAAAATTTTTGTTCTTTATTTTCAAGTCAGTACCATTTTTACTTTATCTTTCTCACCTTTTTATGTTTCAGGAAACCAGCCCTGAGTTTAAGTGTTCTCAATCCAAATTTAAGACAAGCAAGCTGTCCTCTCAGAAACTGAGAAGAGCTCCCTGGGCTAACAGTATTGTGCAAAGAATCCGAGTGACCAAGACTTTCGCCCAGCTTTCTGAAGAAATCCAAACCGCAGTAGTGTGGTGCCGGAGCAGAAAGCTCAAGGCTCAGGCTGCCTATCTGGGCAGCAAACTTCTGAAGAGCAACAGGCTGAGACACGTGGAAGCTCAAGGCTATAGGTGATCATGCTAGAAAATTCATTTCTCTTTTTAGTAAGAAAGTGTACATAAGTGCATTACCTCCTTCGTATAAAACGGGATGTCTAGCAGCCCTCTGGATGCTAAAATAAGACCTACTCAAAGCACAGTTGCATGCGTTGCTCTTGGCATCTGGGCAGTTGTGTCAGGGGTAAGTGTTCACTGGACACTTACCTCATCATTCCCACTGCTTCATGTCCGAAAGCATTAAGATTACCTGTGGCCTCAAAGCCAACGGCAACAGTCTTAGGAGCTCATGTCCAGTGGGAGGTAGCCAGCCCTTCAGTAGACAGCGTCAGCACAGCTGGGTGAGGACGTCAGGGAACTGAGTGCTTCTGCCTATGAGACCCACAGGCTGCAAGGATTAGGGTCAGATTTGATGTTTATAGCAGCTGGGTGCTTACATATTGATGCATTAAATTTATCATGGTTCTTACACTCGAAAAACAGGTTAGAATAGTAAGGGAACAGTTAATAATGATGAACAGTTAGCGAGAGGGGTAACAAACTCGGTTTTATTGGTTAAACTATTAGTCTCTACTTTTCAAAATATAGAAATCATATTGTCCTATTGCTGTTTCATTAAATACATCATTTTTTCTGTAGTACAATTTGTAAAACATTTAATGTCCACAGCACTCTGAAGGTAGGCATTATCCCATTTTATTCATAAAGAGATGGTACTGCTCAAGGAATTGCAACTGGAGATGTAGAACTCAGTTCAGTTCCTCTGATTCTTGTTTGCGTTTCACCTGAGAGATGCACCCACTTTTTACACAGGAAAAGTCAAGGCTTATAGTCATGGCTGGGAAATGAGTCACGAATTGCTTATTACACAGAGTTTCTGCAAATGATGAGAATGAAGGGATTTGGGTAAGGCACATGGGCTCTGTAAACCTTTACTAACAGTGAGGCGGTTTACCAAGGCCAGCATCAGCCATCAGGTAGTGAAGCAAACGCCTGGACTCATCAGCTGAGTTCTGCTGCAGACGTGAAGGGGGTACAGTGCAGCTCACACTTAGGATGTCTCGCAGCTGCTGTCACGCTGTCTTCACCAGAAGCCCCCCAACCTTTCCTCTCTTCATTTCCTGCTACAACATGAACTTAGCTAGAAATGGATTATGACATACTGCAGAGATTTCTATTTGTGATATTTTACAATTTCCACATGTTTACCTTGGGAACAGATTTATCAGCATGAGGGAAAGGCCATGGCTCTCAAGCATGGAGGTGTCTCACCATCTGTGACCTTGCTGGGTAGTTATGGGCAAAATGGAGACATATTTGCCTGCATCCTGAGCGGGAATCAGGCTCTGAAAAACGTTCTTAGGTTGGAACTCCCATTTCCTTATTTTGTGTGTTTGAGGTTATATGTGCATACAGGCCTAGGACTTATAACAAATTGTGTACTTTTGTGTTGGAAATTGGTGCTTGAGAGCTTTTTAGCATCATAATAAGTTGAGATTTTTCTCTTCTGTCCTTTAGTTTGCCAAAGAAGCTACAGTGCATGAAAACATCTCTTTGTAAGTGCCTTCTTCGAGGCTCCATTACCAGCACTTCAAAGTGTCCTCCTAGACAAAGAAGATCAAAGCATAAAGTTTTATCGAGACAAAGGAAACCGCAGAGAAAGTTGCAGTCAAGTCTTTTAAAGGAAACTCAGAAGGTCCCTGAAGGGACTCTAAAGAAAACTAGGGACACCAGTGCTAAGTGGAGCCGTTCAGGTGGAACAGTTCAGAGGACAGATGTCTGTCCTAACAAAAAGGAGGTCTTGAGAAGACTTTCAAAGCCTGTTCTAAAAACAAAGGAGATGGGAATCCATGGGAATGTCACAGCAGGCAGTGGAAATGAAACCGGTCTGTGGACAGAGAGACAAACACACACATACAGTGTGCCAGAAACTGCTAAAGAGGCAGATGACATTGATGATATTTTTGCTTTGATGGGAGTTTAGATGTGCATGTATGAAACTTCTGAGCAGTTGACAAGCTGGTTTGGTGTTCTGCTGTTTTAAGTGGAACACTGCTTGGGCCAGGAGCTTCTTCTGTGCAGCATTCCACAGGAGCGCAAGCAGTCCAATAAAGTTACAGCAGCTCTGTGTCAGCTAATCAGTGTTTACTTGGCGTTGACTCTGCAGGGTGTGAACTATGATGAAAAGTCCATAATAGTCTGTCCCTGAATAATACCTTCTTGACTGAAGCAAGTAGGTGTCTGAAAAGTAAATGCTTATGATTTACTAGAGAGGTAAGGTTCACAAAATCTTTCGTATCTGAGGGTAAACAGGGAACAAGGTTGGAGAGTAGTAAGGAAGCACCATAAAGGTTCACTTGACCTCACTGGCCCCACTCCTTTTAAAAAGTCTTTACAGTTTGTATGTGTGTGTGTACACGTGTGTGGATATCAGAGGATGACTGGTGGGAGTTGATCTGCAGGTCCCAGGTTGAATTCAGTGTCAGGCTTAGCAGCATGTGTGTCTATCCACCGGACCATCTCAACTGTCCAGGTTCTTCTCTTGAATAACAATGTGTATATGCAGTATATGCTGTTACTAAAATGAATTATCAAAATATTTGCCATTACTCAAATGGAAAAACTATTATTTAATCTTCATTTTGTCACTGTAACTCTTAAGAGGATATGTTACAAGGCTTTTGGAATTTTTTTTTTTTTTTGTTTCTAAGGGATGCAAAAAAGTAGGTGAGTGTATGCCAGGAATAAGGCCCATCATAAACTTGCAACCTGGTATCAGTGCTATCACCTGACTTTGTACATATCAGTACAACTGCTCCAGACATGATGGTCATGGGAAATCTGCTGGCCTTCAACTCCTCCAGGCCAGAAAGGGTGACTTAAGAGAAGTATGTAGCTTTGTGTGTATGTGTGTGTGAACCTCTGGGTTTAGACAAGCTACAGGAACTGCTTGGCACTTGGGTACGTGCAACTAGGAAGAGGAATATACCTGCTTCATCCTCTGGTCAAAGAAAGCCCAAGGTTTTGTTTGTTTTGGTGGGAATGGAACCTAGTGCCCCATATCTGCTAGGCCATGGCTTTACCACTGAACTACATCCTCTTGATCCAGAAATCCATGTCTCGAGGCTGCTCACAAAGTCCTTCTACACCAAGTACCAGTGTCTGTGGTGGCCAGGCATGCGGGGCAAGCCTTCCTTCTTCAGCACTCCTGTTCGCTTCATCACCTCACAAGAATGCTACAGCTTTGACAGAGCCCTGCTCCTGGCAGAAGGAAGCCTTTGAATGTAATTCTTTTAACACCTATGTTTGCTTTGTGAAAAAAATTTAAAAAATTATTTTTGGCTTCAAATACTGTTAGTTAGGATAAAATAGACTAACTTTATCAATTATAAAACAGCTGAAATTTTTCCTATTGAGTTTTTAAAAGCCACAAAGTTGTACGGCTTTACCACAGCTATACCCTCTGGCAGCAATCTCACTTTGGAATACTAAGACACTTCATGAAGAGTTGATGCCTTCATAAAAATTTTGCTCCAGTAAGCTGCAGCTCAAAGCCAGTCTGCCTGTTTTAAATCTATGGTGCAATGATCCCACTGACTTGCAAATTCACTTAAAACTAGGTCCTGTGATCTCTGCTACTTCCTTCAAGGCGGGATGTTTTCGTGATAAAAGCCTATGAGGTTTGCTGTGTGCTTTGGTTGATTATGACTTGCAAATATACAGCTGCCATCAATATAACTTGTTAGCCTTCATAACTAAGGTGCTGACAGCTATCAACAAGGTGAGGAGACATCAGGTGATATCCCCAAGGAGCAAGTAATAACAGACAATAGGAATCTGAATCCTGGATTCTGATTATCAATCCTGTGTTCGCCCAAAGGGTAGTGAATGATTCTACTCCCACGTGACTGGTTTTTCCATGGCTGGACAAATTTTGACAGTTTTTTTTATATTCAAATAATGACTAAAAGAATTATAAGCATACATACAGCCATTTACTTTTCTACTTACCTAGGCACGCTTTACAGAAAGGCACCCCACCTTACCTAGTTCACATTCACAGCATTAAAGGTGGTAGACATTTCTTTTATAAGACGAATAATATAGCAAACCTCTCTACATAGTGGCAACAGTCTCACTTCATATACTGCTGTATGCTCTTGGACTTGTCAGTTTGTTAAAATAGAAGACAGCTAGCATCTGTCCTAATGAACAATATGATTTAATTATAACCCTCACCCCCAACAAATTCGTTTTCACTCAGGATGATGCAGGTTTTAAAGTTGAATTGATTCTCCTGCAGGTTGAGATGCACAGTATTTAAAACAATACTGGAATTCTTCTAGGTGTTTAACTCCAGTTGACACGAAGAACGTTGAACCTTTATCAACCCTGGGAGCATTTACTTGAGATTTCCTGTTATGTCTGCTATAAAGCATTTCAACAGATGCACTCCAGAATAGGTCACTGCACTGTGAAAAGAAAAGAAAGCTTAATTTCCCCCGTTGCTCAGAGGTAACAGAACTGAATTCTTGTTATACAAACTTGTTTTAAACAAAGTCTTATAATGCCATGTAGGAGGGCAATGCCTTTTAGTCTGCCCCATCTTCCTTCTCTTTTGTTAGTTTTACACAGTATTCTGCCGTATCTGAAATAGATTCACGCAACTCTTCTGAGGATCAACAACATCTGCTCCATCTTTTCAGGAGTCTAAACATTTTGTCACACCTTCCATTTTACTTTCTGTTCTCCTGAGTAAGTCTTGACAGAATTTAGTCTTTCTGTGATGAAAATGCAAACACCTTGAAGTATATTTAAGGTAAAAAGTAATCATCACCACACACTGACTTTTGTGTCTGTCTCCACCCACGCAGAAGTGGACAGCTGTGATCTCAGGCCTGAAGATCCTCTGGTTTTATAAAGCTGCTATCTCCTGTAGGGCTGCCCGTTCTCTTAGTACCTACAGTGTTTTGGATTTTCTGGTTAAAACTCCCGTGCCTAAAACAGCCTTGTGATGGCTTTTACAACTGAACTAATCATGTAATTTAGAGGGAGATACAATTTGATGGTTCACACACTGACTGGCACTCTGCACTCACATGCAGTGTTTCTGTTAGCTCACAGTTCTGTCCCCAGAGTCAGTTCTCAGATGCTGGGAATTCTACTACACAAAAATACAGAAGCAGTTAGACTGGACCCACTCACCTATTCTCCCCATATCATTTATAAAATATGCCACCTGTAATATTAATCTATACGGACATCTCACATCTATACTTTTCTATTGTGTTGGGCCAGAATTCATGCATAAAAATTATCACTTAAGTTTTGTCGATAGGTTCAAAGCCAAACATTTCCAGACTAAGTGTCTTTACCTTTCTCCTAAGATAGTTCTCAACCTGTGGGTCTCGACCTCTTTGGCAAACCTCTGTCTCCAAAAATATTTACATTATAATTCACAACAGTAGCAAAATTACAGTTATGAAGTAGCAATGGAAATGGTTTTCTGGTTGGGGTCACCACAACAAGAAACTATCGAAGGGCTGCAGCATTAGGAAGGTTGAGAACCACTGTCCTAATAGAGGAAGAAAAGAAAGAAACCCTGACTCATTTACAGTACTAATTTACTCCATCCGAAATATGCCTGGAGCTCTAGTAAGCAGGTGGGCAAGTACCACAAGTCTACCAGGTTTGGAGAGCTGGGAGTATATTCCTATGAATGACTGCTGTGTTAGGGTGAATGCCGAGTTTCTTTCAGGACAAGAGGCTCTCATGTCTCAATCCACAGATTAGGAGTGCTGGGTGACTTTCTACAGGTCCCATGTGGTAAATGTGAGTGGCAGCAGTAATCCCACTCAACAGGGTCAGGCAGCAGAGAGATCCGTCATGTCTAAAAAAAGCAAACTCCTTTAAAAAACACCATGAATCCAATAATATGGCTCTTAAGCCTAACCCTGCCACTTAACGACTGGCAAGAAGGGAAATTATGTAAAGTGTCTATCAATCACATTACATGCTCCTGATAGTGATGTTTACCAGTGAGGAAATGGACTCAAATAAAACCAGCAGCCTCTCTGGTTACCAGAGACCCACATATGTCACACAAACCCAAGGCTAGCTGTCCCTAAGGCACATGCTCCTTCCGCTTCAGCAGATACCTCTCTGTAACTCCATTTCTCATTGTACCTTCTCTGTGGAACAGGCATGCTCAGTATGAAGATCAAGGCAGCGTGTGTATGTGCAGCACCCCTCCCCCATTATCTGTCTCCCCATAGCTTTAGTTAGTGTTTAGCCACAATCTGACGGACTGGTTTGGCATATATTATATAGCAGTGTGGGGCTACTGTCTCATCAGTCCCTTTTTTGGAGCTCAATAATTCCATTGATGTAGCTCCCAAAATTATTAATTTTCCCTAGTAACATCATGTTGTTAAAACAAACAGCTTATAGTAACTAAAATTTACATTTTTTCAACATGGAAAAAGTTGAAAATGTTGCTAGTTTAACCCTGCTTTATTTCTTACTAAACAGTTAAATAAATGGCAGTTTTCTATGACAGTGCTGAGGGCTCTGGAGGAATTAGTTTACTACACCTCCAGGATTTCCACTGCACTAGGAGGATAAAGGAACAGGACAGATCTGAATGTAGGTGAATGCAGAGAGCATTTTGTAGGAATACGGAGGGGGATCCGGAAAGGCACACTCATAACGGCAGTTTCAGTGTGATCTAGACTGATAGGTCTCAAACGGCTAAGGGGAGAGTTACACCTACATCTAACTGCTATATGGTTTTGGTTTTTAATTTTCTCACAAACTATCCCTGGTGCTTTCCAAAAACAAGTCAGGGCAAGAAAACCAGAGACTGATGCTCCAGCTGCCTCAGTACACATTACTTACTGTACCCAAGATACACAGTACAAGTTAAAAACAGAAGTTTTTCATGAAACCACATCATAGTGCCCCAAAATTTACCAGCTCAGATAAATACCTATTTCATCTGTGGCTTTGGAGCCTGTCCTGGAACTAGCTCTGTAGACCAGACTAGCCTCGAACTCACAGAGATCCGCCTGCCTCTGCCTCCTGAGTGCTGGGATGAAAGGCGTGCGCCACCACCGCCCGGCTTATATAGACCTATTTTATATTAAAATTTTTAATTATTTTTCTGAGGGAGTGGGACCTACTATGTAGTCCAGGGTGGTCTTGAACTCAGGTCTACATAGTCTTCCTGGAAGAAAAATGTTCCTGTCCATTTTCAGGCAAACTGATCTACTGCAGCCCCAATGAGTTTTTTACTCTAAGATAAATAGTGTTCATTGAAATGAAGGAGACGGCACTGGAGAGACGGCTCATCAGGTGGAAGTGTTCGACAGGCAGGAAGTGAGTTCAAAAGGCAGATCCACAGGGGGCAGGCAGGGAAGAACGGACTCCACAGGCACACCACAGCATGCATGTGCCCCCACCCCATAGACAGATAAATAAATAAGTAAAAGCTGGTTTGAAAAGGAAAGGTTTCACTTCTGTCATGGTCTAGGGTTGAACTAGGTGAAGCAGAAAGAGAATGAAGTATCTGTGAGGAAGAGTCAGCATGAAAAAAAAAATCAAACACTAACAGACAGTACTGAAAACTACAGCTAACCGATGCACCTCAATCAAGGACACTGACTTCGTAGTAAAGGTTTTTTATTTGGGGGTGGGGGAGGTGGGGTTGAGTAACAGTCCTGGCTGTCCTGGAACTCGCTCTGTAGACCAGGCTGGCCTCCAATTCACAGAGATCCGCCTGGTAAAGGCTTTTAGATCACAACGTTATTAGAGAATCTGACTCTTACCTTATAGGAAACAACTGAGGAAAGCAGCCTTGTGTTTGTGTGTTAACAAACTTCTGGATCTGAAGTACTTGTTTTAAAAGATAGCCTTTGGAAGATTTGTCAATTTTTGTTAATACCATCTATAGAAAAATAAGTAATAGAAATAAAATTTATCAATATAGCTTTTATACATTTTAACTATAAACTTTCAGTACTTAGGTTGAGTTGGTTCATGTAAATTTCTCAATCTCTACCTACTTTCTCATCTATACAATAAAAACAAGCCATAAATAATTTGCTCTGATGATGAGTTAAATGTCACATATAGTGTGCACTGTGTGTTTGCTACCTAATACTTTACTAGACATGACCATAATGCCTTGGACTTTATTTAAAGATCAGAGAACCAGAGCCACACTTATAACTGACATCAGCTGTTTAATGTGATTACAATGTATTTTATAGTCTAAGATAGTTAAATGACTATAACTTGACTGAGCCACATAAAGATGCCAATATGTAACAATTTTGGAACCAAAAAGTTTGGTTTTACATGTAATACTTCAAAGGAAAAATTAGAAACTGTGTTCTTTGTTGGCTATATCTACTACAGTTGTCCTCTTGGTGAATCCAGAATGTTACTTATTAAACTACAAATAGTAGAGAGGTAAAAGCATGGGTGATTACAAATCAAGGAAAAGGTGAAATTTCAATCTATCAGGTTTTCCCAGGGAATATCAAACACCCAGACACATACTCTTACTTGAAGCTAACCCATGCCAGGCAAGTGATCGCACTGAACTATAACTCTCCCTGGCTAAAATTTAAAGTCATCTTTTTGTTTGTTCTTTCCCCCCTTCTTGGCTACTTAGATTATTACTAATCTTAATCTTTTTCCAAAGAAGAAATAATACTCTCTTCAGTATGTGACTGCACAGAGTGGTACCTATGACACTAAGTCAGGAATTACTTCCTAGCCAGTTTGATAATATTCTGTCATTTTTATACCAGTTCCTTGATGCTTTATAAGAGTGACCCTAATACTTCATAGGACTTCTGCAAATCCCAAGAACTTTTGTATTCCAAAAATACACAGAAAGAGTGACTGCCGAGTTGCATGGCTTTATTCACACAAATAAATTCACTGCTTCACTTTAGTGGTTTCTGAAAAGTAAATTATAATCATTGAGTTATTTACTTTTCTTAAAAAGGAATTTTAGGGCTGGAGAGATGGCTCAAAGGTTAAGAGCACTGGCTGCTCTTCTAAAGGTCCTGAGTTCAACTCACAGCAACCACATGGTGGCTCACAACCATCCAAGATGAGATCTAATGCCCTCTTCCAGCCTGCAGGCATATATAACACTGTATACATAATAAATATTTTAAAAAGGAATTTTAAAAATCTGGAAGTAATATAAAGTTGATCTGCATTTTAGTGTAGGTCAATTTTATGCTAGTAAAAAAAAACCTAGTGAGATATTCCTAAAATAAATCTTCAATTTTATGTATTTCATGCATGTGTCTGTGTGAGGGTGTCAGATCCCCTGGAACTGGAGTTAGATGGTTATGAGCTGTCAAGTGGGTGCTGAGAAGTGGGTACCCTGGGAGAGCAGCAGTGCTCCCAAATGCTAAGCCATCTCTCCATCCTAGAAAATAAATCTTTTTAAGAACATAAAAATTCTATTTGTGTGTGCTGGAATCGTCTAAGTTTCTGCTGCAGTCTTAGTTAAACCTTTGTAAGTACTATACCGTGAGATGCTGTTCAAGAGTTAGTAACATGTTTTGGACAAACGTTTGTATTTCCATAAAAAGCATTTCAGAACACTAAGTGAACAGTTTAAGAAACTCTGACTGTAAATTTAAAAGCGTGTATAAGTCCAATATGTTAAAAGCACACGCTGTTCTTTCAGAGGACCTGAGTTCAGTTTCTAGCACTCCCAGTGGATAGCTGGCAACCTCGTGTCTCCAGCTTTGGAGAAATGTGTTGCTCTCTTTTGGACTTCATAGGTATTCACATACAGGTGATATAGGCATGTGTATGTGTGTACATACATGTGTTCTCTATCTCTCCCCTCCCCCTACATAAATTTAAAAACTTAAAACTGAAAGGGAAAAGTAAGAAAGTATTACAGAACTTAAAGGCACTTTAAATTTTTTTTGTATATATGTGATATATACATGTTGTGTGTATAACTTTTTTGATTTTTTTTTTGTGTGTGTACATGTGTCTGTACGCACAGGCCAGAGAAGGACCCGTGTCTATTTCATCACCCTTGCCTGTTTCCTTTGTGTGAGGGCCTCACACCGAATCTGGAGCTGGGCTGGTAGCCAGGGATCATGTGATCCTTTGGTCTCCAACTTCTAGAGCACTAAGGTTACGGGAATGTATGTGACCACAGTTTCTCAGGTGGGTGCTAAGGACTAGACCTTACGTGTCCATTCTGTGTAGCAAGCATTCTTACCCATGGACCCATCTCCCCAGCCACTCTATCTTCTGAGGAAACACCTGCTCACTACTAACAAGTATATGTGCATATTCACATGCATTCCAATGTGATTTCTAATTGCACCACAACTCTAAGGAAATACTTACCACATAAGGCAATGCAAATTCTTCACACATCTCTATGGCAATATTGTCTACTTTTGTAATTCCAACAACACTATCCACTAACAAAAATGTTCTCTTCAAGCTGTAAGAATAGAAAGAAAATCAACGGCAAAATAAGACATACCCATTCATCTGGCTCTCTCATCCTAGGAACTTCATCCTGCAGTCCAACAGAACTCAATGCAATTTACTGTACTTTCAATACCTACATTTGTTAAATATCAATTTATCTCAATAAGAACATATCAAGCTGACTGAGTCTTGGGAGAAAGATAAATAAGCCCCCTCCTGTAAGACCTTAAAAGTCTAGTGGAAAAAAGAGACAAAAATCAAATTTGTTATAATTTTTAATGTTACTTTAATTTTCCAATTTTGATTAAAATTAATTTTACTTTTAATTTAGCTTTTATATGTAAAGCTACAGAAAACAAATTTCCATATATATGTGTATGCACACACACACATTTTATTTGTGATGCTGAGATCAAATACAGAGCCTTTAGCAAGTTAAGCAAGTACTCTATTACTGAGCTACATACCCAGCCCTTTTATTTTTTCCATAAATGAATACTTTTCTTTGTTTTTTTTTTTTTCAAGACAGGCTTTCATTGTATAGCCCTGGCTATCCTGGAACTCTCTTTGTAGACCAGGCTAGCCTCAAACTCAGATCCGCATGCCTCTGTCTCAGAGGGGATTTAAGGCACACACCACCACTGCCTACTATGAATGAATATGAGTGTGTGTGTATCAGAAGCCTAACATTATTTTCCTCTAGATTGTGTGGTTCTTAAAACACATTACTGCTTGATTACTTATGGAAATCAAAAAGTAAACATTTTCAGAGTTTGTGATTGAGCTACTTAAGACAGAGTTTACTGAATGTTATTTAAATTAATTAGCTAATGATTTTCATTTTCAAAATTAGTCAGCTGAGAGTTTTGCTTTTTTAAAAAATGAACTTACTGTTGAATATTCTTTATAGTTTCAAGCTGAGAAAATAAAGGAAGTTAAGATTCTAAGCTCTAGGCAGAAGCTAAACAGGCAGTGTACACTCTGCTCCTCAATACTGTATTGTAGAGTAATACGAGGATAAAGCACCTACAAATAAGTCACTTGCTATGGAGTTGTCATGTGTAGAATTCCCTGGATTTAAAAACATGCTTTGGTATGAAATGTGAACTACTGTAAGAAAGGAATTTTCTTACTTCTTTCGTTCTTTTAGATAGGCCTCTACCATGTCAACAAAGTCTTCGGGGGCTCTATAGCCATACCCTGGCATGTCCACCAATGTAAAGTATTTTCCAACTTTGAAAAAATTCATTTTCTTTGTGTGCCCCTGATAAAGTAAATGGGAAAAAAAAAAGCTGGCTTAAGATATTTCCTTTATTTCATAACTAGAAATGTATTCCATTCATTCAACAAATATTAATTAGAAATTGAAGTATATATTCTGAGCAAAGGGAGAAGAAGTGATTAGTGGCCACCAATAATTAGATCATAATTAAATCTCTTCAATTTGTTTTTAAATAAAATTTTTGGGTTAAAAACTTTACATTTCCCATAAAAAATAGATAAAATATTTCAGAATCGATCTTATTTTGCTGTCTATTTATGTCATCCAGATTTAAGCTGTATATCTGCCATTAGTCAGTTCTCTGGTAAACAATATACACAGAGGATCAGGGCGCTGATCAAACGTTTATCCCATCACACAGATTCTTATATCCAAAGCCAGATGTTTCTTACCTGCAGACTAGTGTTTCCCTAAGCCAAGGTGTTTTGGATGTGGGTTTTAGTGTCCTCATAGAGATTTTTTTTTTAAAAGACTGTGCAACACCATAATTATAAAATAAAGTCTGATTAAAATTCATGCAAAGATAAAATATGGCTCCTTATGCTTTTGTGATCATGAAACAGGAATCAGAAAAGGAAAGACAAACAATTTAGACCAAAGAGTTGTTGTTTTGTTGTTGTTTTTTTTTTTTTAATGAATGATGATTATGTTCCTGGTTAACTTACTCGTCCATCTGTTAGAAAGTGTTTTTAGAATTGTATATTAGAGAATGAAAAGAAATACCCTTATCCATTGTCCTCTTACGCAGGAATGGACTTCATCACATCTAAATGTCATAGCTTAGGTGACTTATTTGGTGAAGAAGAAGAGGAAAGAATCATGAAAGGGCTTAAACTTAACGAAAAGGGAACGGTGAGCATTACAGCTGGTAAAACCGAGGGGTCATACAGACACCAATGCTAGCAGAACGGCGCGAGAGTTGAGAAAAGGCTATTTTAGGCCCTAGCTGAGTCTGCAGCATTGAGAAGGAGGTAGAAGGAAGGGAAAAGGACAGAATGCCAGCAGAGCAGGGCAGGGCATCTGCGACAACAAGCATAGGGTGGCCCTGGGTAAAAGAACAAGCACGGCTGGTATATGTGCGTTAAGTATTTTCCAGACAACAAACCTCTCCGCCGACAAATAATCCCAATCAGTCCAAATCAGACCAAACTAAAAGTTACCCAGGTTTAATGAATGGGTGCCAGTGCTCCTGGATGGCCCCCCGAAAACACGGGGTGGGGGGGACCAGAAGGACCACCAGGGAGGGAAAAGGGGAGAGCATGTGTTCATTCTGGGGAGGGTGGTGGTTGGAGGAGGGTGGGGCAGTTTAAACAGCCTGTGGGAGTGGTCTTGACCTTCCCTGGGGAGGGGTTACCCTTGGGCAGGCTTTCTCGGAGGTGAAGTTTGGACTGAGGCAACTCCCAGGGGAAGGAGCTAGGAATGGAGTTTTCTGCCCAGCGTTCCAAAAATGGATGCCAGGGGGCTGGGAGTGAAGCCCCCAACTTAATATCCCAGACTCTTTGTATAAAGGGGTGCCAGGGAGCTGGGGTGATGTTGCCAACCAAGCAATATGCAAGAATGTATGCGAGTGTATGAATAGAGAAGGTATAAAGGATTGTAGAAGATAAAACAACTTGAAACCCGTTTTTCCTATAACCAGTGTAGAACTGGATGCTCACTGTTATGTATGGAAACGGAAAACAGCAATACAATACTTAACTGGGCAAGTGGAGAAGATTTAGACACCGGATGCCTTCCTCAGGATATTGGCAAGAGCTCTACGGTCAGTTCAGTTATACTTCCTTTCCTTCAGGAAATACACAGGCACTAAAAGCATGTCTTACCTTATGACTTGTTTAAAAGAAATCTCTTCTCTAGGAATTTAGCAATTATGATCTCTTTACCTTCCAATACTTAAGTTTCATTTTAGTAAATTCAAGAGATATCCAGCATACCGGTTTTTTTGAGACTCTGACTTCTACATCAGGGGCCAGCGAAAACAAGGCCTTTATCAAGGAGGATTTTCCAACATTGCTTCGGCCTATGAAACACACCTAGTATGACGGGCAGAAAGGAGAAGGGAGAGCTTAGAGATCTGAAGAGTGGTTTATTTGTAAAAGTTCTATTTGCGGGGCTGGAGAGATGGCTCAGCAGTTAAATGCATTTGCTGCTAGAGGACTCAGATTCAATTCTCAGCTCACATGGCTGCTCACAAATGCCAGAAACTCCAGTTCCAGGAGGATCTGATGCCCTCTTCTGGCTTCTGAGGGCAACAGACACGCATGTGGTGCACAGACATGCATGCATGCAAAACACACATAATGAAATTAAAAACAAAACAAAACAAAACAAACAAACAAAAAAAAAAACACTGGCTGCTGTTCCAGAGGACCGGGGTTCGATTACCAGCACCCACATTCCGTGCGGCTCACTGCGGTCCTCAACGTGCACTGCACACAGAGGTGGTGCATCCATACCGAGTTTCCCGTTTCTCTGATTCTTACGGTCTCTCACGTTGGGTGACAAGACTTGAACACTGGCGAGCTCCAGCTCTCTCACCTCCGGCTGCTGCAGGCTCGGGGCGTGGTCTAGGCGGACGGCGGAGCTGAGGTAGTCGATGCGGTTCCGGGCTGTGGCCTCGAAAACGCTCTCCGCCCTAGCGATGTCCTCCAGGCTGGGGTCGAAGAGTCTCTGTTCTAAGAGGCCTGGCCCGGTGTCCGTGACGAGGTACTGCGCCAGTTCCCGCAGCGGGTATACAATTTTCGTTAGCTGTTTCTGCGGAAGCTTTAGCACGTCAGCGAAGGCAGGGGACATGCTGTAAAGCCGGGGCCAAGCTCCTCGGGCTTGCGCCATCTCACGGAGCCTTCCCGTCCTACGCCACAGCCCAGCAGCCGCCATGTTTCTCTCCCAGAATCCTCGCGACAATTTCATTCATTCATTCATAGGGTCTGAACAGCGCTAGTGAGTCTCACTGCCGCGGCGCCTGCTGGGACTTGTAGTTTTCAGGGCCTTCTTGCTTGCTCAAGCTTTTCGCAGCCAAAGACTGAGAGGATGTCCGGGACCGTCAGGGGAAAGCCCGCTGACTTTCTTTAACACCTTGGCCTACCCACCTGTGCATCGGATTGGTGTGTTCTGTGGGAAAAGTCTGCAGCGGTTTCCAGAGGCGAAAAACTTACCTCGTCTTTGTGGTCTTTTGAGTCTCAAGGGAAGGAGTCATACAGCGAAGCTCTAGTGGGGTTCCATGCCCCTTTTGTCATCTGTTTCCGGTCGTCTTACCGATACTTAACATTTAATCATCAGTTCACATCACTGAGAAAAGCACGTTTGCAAAATTAAATGAGCTGGTGAGAAATGTGGTTGGAACAGCACCTCGTTTTCAGAGGAGGGACTAACCCTTCGACAAACATGCTGTTGGAGCTGCAGCTGAGATCTCTCGTCCAGATCCATAAACGGGAAACAGAGGGAACTGGGAATGACTGGAGGCCTTTGAAAACAAGGCCACACCTTCTAATCCTTTCCAAACAGTTCCTCAAACTGGGGAACCAAGTATTCAGACATATGAGCCCGTTCTCATTCAAACCAGCACAAACATTTAATCATCATTTCCCCCTCTGTCTCTCCATTATTTTTAAAAGCATCTGTATATACCAGGGACATAAACTTTAAGGAGATGAGAGTCAGTATATGCTGTTTTCTCTGGTCCTATGTGATCAAACTCTTCCCAGTGTACACAGAAGATCAAAGATGAGACATGCTTATAGCAGTTAGATCTACTAGTGAGAGGGTGGAAAATTACAATTGGATTTAAGGGAACTAACCCTATTAGAGGTGCCATGGGAGTCTTAAAGAATACAGAGAATTGTGTAAGTTCAGGAAGATTAAAAAAAAAGCCAAAATTAGTATAGGAGAAGATCACATCTGGTAAATGGGATCTTGTAATAGCCCCCAGTAATACTTGAAACCTGTTTGTTGGCAATATCTTGGTTTCTGGTGTTTTGTCTACATGAAGTAGATATTAGTCTATAGAGATATATTAGGAGTCAGGATCTAGCTTCCTACATAAGAGGTTTGTCTGGGCTAAGATCGAGAATAAAATTTAGCCCCAGTGAGGTAAAACAATATAGTTTAGAAAAACACATGATCTATGCACAACATTCAATGTCTAAAATGGAATTCCTAGTATTCTCTTCTCCCTTGTTCTGTTGGTTTTGCATTCATTCCTATCACAGTAAATGACAACAGCATCCCTTCACTTGATCCAGCCAGACTTCTTGAGGGAAAGTCTTGATTTCTTTCCTTATATCCCACACTTAATACAGCAGCAGTCTTGCTGATTGAATTAATCTTTGACACATCCTGAATTAGAGTCTTTAGGCAGATCCACTATTAGTCTCACGTTTCCAGTTCCCATTACCTCTCACCTAGATAACGGCTATACCTTCCAGAAACTGGTTGTCTACCATTGCTTTTTACTACATTAGGTGCATCCCCGACATAACAGCAAAGAAGATGCTGTCAAAGTGAAAGCGAAAATCTCCAGCATGTTCCTGTCTCAAAGAAAAGTCAAAGTTCTCCCACTAACTTAAGAAGCATAGGGATCCCCACCTTTCTGTACATCCCTGCCTGGAATGTTTCCTTCCAGATTGTTATTACAGGGTTTACTTCTTTACCATCTGGAGTGTTCGTGGCCATCCTTCTGAAGAAGTGGTTTTGATTTTGAGGACTGAAGAGGTAGTTAGCCACCGAGTTAACACTTAAAAAAAATTAATATGATATAGACAGGTACTACAGACTTTACACATAATCCTTGAGTCATTTTTATTTTATTTATTTTTGCCAACCGGGGGGTTGGCGGTTGCTTTTGAGACAGAATCTGTTACGTAGGTCAGACTGGCCTCAGATTGATGGTCCTTCTGTCTCTGCCTTCTGATGATGTACTGCCACACCCAGATTTAGAGCTAAGATTTTTCACTAACGTTCGTGTGACTGAAATGCTGTAGTCTGCTCTGCCAGGCTCAGCTGGTAAGGACAGGAAGAAGGCTGGCAGATCAGCAAAGAGATCTCACCATTCTTACAGATCAGCACAGTTGTTTTTCCATTGTTGCCGTCTCTGAGCTGAACAGCTTTTTGCTTCCAAACGATCATAAGTTTTGTTGATCCAGGAGGTATGAAGTAGGGATTCCATCTAATCCGAGAAGAAGTTAAGCATTTGTAGGCCTAGACAAGTAGACAGAACCATGGACGTCAGAGAGTTAGCAAGTGCAGAACTCACACAGGTCAACTCCTATTCTAGTTTAGAAACACCACACTTAGACTGTCTGGACGGAGATAAGAGTAGGGATGCTGGGAAAACTCGCTTTTAGATATGGAGAGGTAATGGATTAGTACTCAGTGTTGGTTTTTACAAAAGGTTCTTTTTTACCTTTACTTTTCTCTTCCTAACAGCAGAAAATACCATGCATGGTGGTACCTGTAATGCTAACACTTGGGAGGTAGAGGAAGGATGACCAGAAGTTAAATGCCCCTTTCAGTTACACACCAAATTTGAGGCCAGCCTAGACTACAAAGAATCTGTCTCAAAAACATTATTTAATGCTTTCCATAAAATGAATTGATTTGAATATCAGAGATCAATTATGGCTAAGGCATGGCCATATTAAAATTGAGTGCTTGCATGTAGAAGGACAAAGTGGGGGAAAGAAGGTGCATTACATAGAGAGTGACATGGAGAAACTGTGTTGCACAAATTGCCTGAGTTGTAAGAGCTACTATTAGAATGAATTATTTAAGTTTAAATTTTATTTTAAAAATATTTATTTGTGTGTGTGTGTGTGTGTCTGTGTGTGTGTGTGTGTGTGTGTGTGTGTGTGTGAGCAGCAGAGGCCAGAAGAGAGCATTAGGTCCTCTGGAACTGAAGTTATAGGATGTTGTGAATGTCTCAACATGGGTGCTGGCAGCTAAATCCAGGTCCTCTGAGTGAGAAGCAAGTTCTTTTAAACACTGAGCTATCTCTCTAGGGCAATTTTACAATTTCTTTAATTACATTTTAACTTCTCTGTGAAATTTTCCCTTTAAACAATTATATTAGCTGTAATTCAACACATTCATACAGGTTTGTGACCCCCCCCCCCCACATGCTATGTGATGCCTGAATTTCTACCTAATTTATCTTTTGGGGGGAATACAGTTATTACATGTGAGAGCCACTATATTACCATCTGAGATGCATTTCTCTTGACCATCCTTCGTAGTTTATCAAATCATTGAATTTCATTTATATCTCATTAATGTTGCTTTTAATAATGTCTCAAACAACGTCAATAATTGTGTGGTTGTTTTTCATATTCTCTCTATGTAATCTTCAGCTTCTTTGAAGATTGTATCTGCCATGCTGACAAATTTCTCTAAAGAGATCTGGAGATTAAATATCAAGTACTAGTCAGGTAGGAGGTAAGTTCTTAGAAAAACTTGGGTTCAGAGAGGAAAATTAAAATTTGTTTCCATCAAGTTATTTGTTTTCAATCAGAAGAAAGCAAGTTGCTTTAAACAATATTTTCCCATTGTTAATTCTGTGCTTCATTTTAACCACACTAATGGTACTATTTTGGAACTCTTTGCCATCTATAGTTGGTGATTTTGTATCTGTTAAAAGCTTCTCTGTGTGTGTGTGTGTGTGTGTGTGTGTGTGCACGTGCGCATGTGCATGCTGTAGTGGTTGATAAAAAGCATGGGTTTTTCTGTTCCAAGTGATGAATTCATTAACATCTTAATCTTTATTATTTATTAGGCAAAAAATTTTGGTGGGTTTACTTGATAGTAGTATTGCTATCAATACTGTATTCATTTGCTATATTCAAACCTGTAGAGGTTTGAATGAGAATGGCCACCATAGGCTCAGATATTGAATACTTGATCTACAGTTGGTGAAACTATTTGGGAACAATTAGGAGGTGTGGCCTGTCCGAAGAGGTGAGGCACTGGGGGCAGGCTTTGAGGTTTCGGAAGCCCATGCCATTGCCAATTACCTGTCTTTCCCTCATGCTTATAGGTCAAGATGTAAACTCTCAGCCACCGCTTCAGGGCCATGCCTGTCTGCTGGCTGTGATGCTCTCCGTCATGATGGTCACAGACACCAACTTCTCCCACTGTAAGCCCGCAAGAAATTCTTTCTTTTCTAAGTTGCTTTGGCCATGGTATCTTAGAACAGCAGCAGAAAAGTATCTCAGACCCTATCTAAACTACATCTCATTGCTTTACTGACAGGAACAGCATACTCTTTGACAACCCTGAAGAAACAGAGCTCAGGGATATATACTAAACACACGTGCCAGTTTTAAACTCATTCATGGAGAGGTGTTTGTCAGATATCTCCAAGTCTGGCTTCCAAGTTTGCTGATACAATAGGAAGATTCCCGAAACTCAGTGGATGGTGTCTCTCCAAGTTTGCTGATACAATAGGAAGATTCCCGAAACTCAGTGGATGGTTGTCTCTAGAATTTGCCACAGCCAAAGGATGAAAGTTGAAAGAACAGACTCAAGTTGAAGCCCCTGAAAAACGAGGCTCAAGCTTCTCAGAATTCTCTCCCGCAGCACAGGTCGCGTTTACATCTGCCAGCACTGAGCTGAAATGAGGGATTGCTGTTCAAACGGAGCCCTCACTGGAACCCAGGAGTCTAGGGTTAATATCAAGGGCTGGCCATGTAACTACCTTGTGGTTGTGCAACTGATGAAACTTTCTGAAATTTCCGGTTCCCAGAAGGTAATCATGCATTCAGTAATGCTACAGTTCTTATTTTGTTTTTGAGACAGGGTATTACTCTGTGGTCCCCGCTGTCCTGGAACTTACGATGTAGACCTCAAACTCACAGAGGTCTACTTGTTTCTGCCTCCTGAATGCTAGGACTTGCGGCACGCACCACCACATCTGGCTTAGTTATTGCTATAGTTTTATCTTAATGGCCTCCAGAGGCCCAGGTGTTAAAGGCGTGGCCAGTCTCTAAAGAGGCACTATCAGGAGATT